ATGTAATATCAGCCATGATTTCACATTTGTGTCGATTGGAATAATTCATGTTATATTTTCTAAGTTTATGAAAATGAACCATGTGTCAACGTCGCAATGTTGCGCAACCACAGTATTTTGCCTTACAATATTAATCAAACTAAAATGGATCACATAATAGCTATATTAACCATCGTTTTCTCATCTCACTTTAATGGGAATGTAGTAGATGTTTTTCACAATTTTCAGAGACTATTCATGCTTAGCCCGACCAATCAGGTGCGCTCCAGCTGTCCTTGTCATGCACGCTCCTCATGTCTTGATAGAATAAACTTCTTTATTCTCCTCACAAACGGCAAACTCATCATGGCTTGACATAAGGTAATTGAACCCCAGAATCAACAAGATAAAAAAATGTTTTTACCACTAACCTGTTGTTAAAAGCTTGTGAGAAGCTGATCCAGGAAGTCAATTGATTAAGGCATAATTCTAATGATGTCATATAATTTTCAAACATGGTCACTTGTTGATATTTTGCAAACATTATAAAATCAATATGAACTAGAGGAGACAATTGCCTCTGCTTAAACGTTTATTTTATTTTATTCCACTTCCGTCCCCCTTGTCTATCCTGTAACTTCTCCCAGGCTAACACCCAAGACTAGCTAGCATGATACTTGAAACCTATGCTGGCATTTAGTCACTAGATGGGTTAAGAAAATGACGTGTGGAACCTTAACCAACTAAACACAATGCTACAACCGAAAAACACTTCAGATGGAACAGCGATGCTCGTTGATGTGTAACCGTAGTTGCCTGCGCGTAATACCAGTGTATTGCAAGCTGTGTGGATGTGCATAGATGCACTACATTGTTAGTTCCACAGGTAATGAATCTATTGATGGTGTATTTTTTATTTGTAATGAACGATCTGAAGGTGTTGGACTTTTTAAATACCTGTACAGGCCACACAATTGCGACGGGAAGAAACCATGGGCATCATCCAAATGTTCCTTAGGAGATTTCGTTAGGTCATAAGTGTCTGCGCGCACCAGCATGTCCATTACGCCTCGATCACACCGACAGCGTCATTGCATTTTGGTACACCAGAAGTACATTCATTTCCAATGGAACGTTGCGTTTGCTTTGCAGCATTGCATTGCAGAGGCAGTTGCAGTGCGTTCTGTGTGGTGAATACGTTGGATTTATCGAACATCAAACGAATGCGTCAAACTATGCGTAGACGGCTTGACAGAAATGGTAGCAGAATGTGAATGTTGAACTTTTGTTGCACACATATGCAGATGATGATGCTTACCATTTTGCGCAAATACGCTGTAGGTGTGATCGAGGCATTACGCATACTTTCGATAAATCCAACGTATGCACCACACAGAATGCACTGCAACTGCCTCTGCAACACAATGCTGCAAGGCAAACGTAGTGTTCCATTGGAAATGAATGTACTTCTGGTGTACCAAAACACAATGATGCTGTTGGTGTGATCAAGGCATTAGGCTGCGGGACCTAGAATGAATGAACAGGGGAAGTTCATGAAACACATCAGTGCCCACAGTTTGCAATATATGCCAGTGTTGTCTAATAATGTTTTTAATGTCAGAGCTGTAAGGAGGGTTTTTCAAAAAATGTTTTTAATGTCATTGCTGTAAGGAGTGAATGTAGTACAGCACACCACAGAAAATTATTTTTCTTGTGTTTGTAATGTATCATGTCTGTCCATAGCACAGAGTCCAAACTTGCTCTGGAGTAACCTCTGTGAGAAATTTGAGTACAATTGATTTGCTTCCGTGATAGAATCCTCATTTTGAGTGGTCAATGAGACTGAGCGCTAGCTAACCAGCTGAGCTAGCAATCAATGTAAAAAAAAACTAAAGGATCATTTTTGATTAGAAAATACTCCAATAGGCTCTTCATTTCAGGAATCACAGTAGCAAGTACCACTGGTGCACTGTTCAATTATTTAACCATTTAAACTATTTATTTTTTAAAGAAAACTAATTTTTACCCACTGGCTTTCATGTGTTTCAAACGTGTTGCTGTCCATTGGAGCGCTGAGATTGGTTGGCCAAAATTCTGGGGTGGGGTTAGCGAACTTCAATTAGAGCAAGGTTTCCCAAGCTCGCTCCTGTTTTCAGTTTTAAAGCTAATTTCCTGAAATGTTAAGCATTTTGCCATGAATAATGCTGTGTTATTTTGCTCAAACATAATAACACAATCTATACTGCTAAATTCATTGTTTTTGGAATTTTCAATTTTCCCTTGTCTAGCTTTTATTTTGGTGATTGTTAGTTCTCAAAGATTATATGATAAGAAAAATATTAGGTACACCCATCTAGTATCGGCCTCTCATCAACAAGCTTTTTTCACCTACAGGACTACCACTGACTGGATGTTTTTTTGTTTGTCGTATGTGAAAAGCTCAGGAGGCCGGCCATTTCTGAGATACTGGAACCGGCGCGCCTGGCACAGACAATCATACCACTCTCAAAGTCACTTAGGTCACTCGTTTTGCCCATTCTAACGTTCAATCAAACAGTAACTGAATGCCTCAATGCCTGTCTGCCTGCTTTACAGAGCAAGCCACGGCCATGTGACTCACTGTCTGTAGGAGCGAACCATTTTCGTGAATGGTGTGGTGTGCCTAATAAACTGGCCACTGAGTGAATATGTCCATTATCTTTTGGACATATACATATCTGGTTTTAGTCGTTTAAGTTTACACTGAAAGCGCTTTTCCATCCCCTAACCTAGCCTCTGTCGAGTCTCCAAAAACCAATGTTCCAGTTTTCAGGGGAAATGGAAAGTGAGCCTGTGGCGTGACTTCCGCTTTTGGACGTTAACAAGGCAACACTACAGTGAGGGGAAAAAAGTATTTGATCCCCTGCTGATTTTGTACGTTTGCCCACTGACAAAGACATGATCAGTCTATAATTTTAATGGTGGGTTTATTTGAACAGTGAGAGACAGAATAACAACAAAGTCAAAAATGTTATAAATTGATTTGCATTTTAATGAGGGAAATAAGTATTTGACCCCTCTGCAAAACATGACTCAGTACTTGGTGGCAAAACCCTTGTTGGCAATCACAGAGGTCAGACGTTTCTTGTAGTTGGCCACCAGGTTTACACACATCTCAGGAGGGATTTTGTCCCACTCCTCTTTGCAGATCTTCTCCAAGTCATTAAGGTTTCGAGCCTGACGTTTGGCAACTCGAACCTTCAGCTCCCTCCACAGATTTTCTATGGGATTAAGGTCTGGAGACTGGCTAGGCCACTCCAGGACCTTAATGTGCTTCTTCTTGAGCCACTCCTTTGTTGCCTTGGCCGTGTGTTTTGGGTCATTGTCATGCTGGAATACCCATCCCCACCCATTTTCAATGCCCTGGCTGAGGGAAGGAGGTTCTCAGTCAAGATTTGATGGTACATGGCGACGTCCATCGTCCCTTTGATGCGGTGAAGTTGTCCTGTCCTCTTAGCAGAAAAACACCCCCAAAGCATAATGTTTCCACCTCCATGTTTGACGGTGGGGATGGTGTTCTTGGGGTCATAGGCAGCATTCCTCCTCCTCCAAACACGGCGAGTTGAGTTGATGCCAAAGAGCTCAATTTTGGTCTCATCTGACCACAACACTTTCACCCAGTTCTCCTCTGAATCATTCAGATGTTCACTGGCAAACTTCAGACGGCCCTGTATATGTGCTTTCTTGAGCAGGGGGACCTTGCGGGCGCAGCAGGATTTCAGTCCTTCACAGCGTAGTGTGTTACCAATTGTTTTCTTGGTGACTATGGTCCCAGCTGCCTGAGATCATTGACAAGATCCTCCCGTGTAGTTCTGGGCTGATTCCTCACCATTCTCATGATCATTGCAACTCCACGAGGTGAGATCTTGCATGGAGCCCCAGGCCGAGGGAGATTGACAGCTCCTTTGAGTTTCTTCCATTTGCGAATAATCGCACCAACTGTTGTCACCTTCTCACCAAGCTGCTTGGCGATGGTCTTGTAGCCCATTCCAGCCTTGTGTAGGTCTACAATCTTGTCCCTGACATCCTTGGAGAGCGCTTTGGTCTTGGCCATGGTGGAGAGTTTGGAATCTGATTGATTGATTGTTACCTGTATAAAAGACACCTGTCCACAGAAGCAAACTTTTATACAGGTAACAAACTGAGATTAGGAGCACTCCCTTTAAGAGTGTGCTACTAATCTCAGCTCGTTACCTGTATAAAAGACACCTGGGAGCCAGAAATCTTTCTGATTGAGAGGGGGTCAAATACTTATTTCCCTCATTAAAATGTAAATCAATTTATAACATTTTTGACATGCGTTTTTCTGGATTTCTTTGTTCTTATTCTGCCTCTCACTGTTCAAATAAACCTACCATTAAAATTATAGACTGATCATGTCTTTGTCAGTGGGCAAACGTACAAAATCAGCAGGGGATCAAATACTTTTTTCCCTCACTGTACATCTTAACTCCTCCGCATTTACTGGATTGGTTGAACAGTGCAGAAGAGAACCTTCCCCAGCAGTTTTTTTCTTCTCGCCAAGACCAATAGGCAGGGGATCTAGCTTCAGGCATTTATTTTACGCCTGCTACATTAGGTTTTTCCTAACCTAAACCCACAACAATACCCACAGGCTTTATAAAAAAATATGAAATACCATCCATTTAAAAGATGGGAATGTCTGAGCAATATGTGCCTCTGCAGAACATTTTCTTTTCAGAACTATTTTTATTTTAAAAAACAATATTACGTAGTTTGCCCTTTAATTTGTTAATGCATTGTGGTGGCTCATTTGAAAGAAAGCCATTTCCAGGGCTCAAAATTAATCCGAGTGTGAATCCCAAAAAGGGGCTCACCTCCCGCAGCTTGAGTGGCAGCAATGGAATCATGTAAATGAAACATGCATACGTCCTCCATTTCACCTCCTTGTCTTGGAAGAGAATGTCAGTGAGTGACAGGGCTGTGTTGCTAAATAACATTGTGTGTTTCTCCACTGAAGGGAACAACCCATCTTCAGTGCCAGAGCGCATGTCTTCCAGATAGACCCGGCCACCAAGAGGAACTGGCTTCCCGCCAGCAAGCATGCCGTCACTGTCTCCTTCTTCTACGATGCCAATCGGAGTGTGTACCGTATCATCAGTGTGGGGGGCACCAAGGTGAGATATGAACCCCACTGGCTCTCTCTTAGCCACCGTGCTTCTACACCTGCATTACTAGCTGTTTGGGGTTTTAGGCTGGGTTTCTGTACAGCACTTCGAGATATTAGCTGATGTACGAAGGGCTATATAAAATAAAATTGATTGATTGATTGATTGCTAGGTGTTGTGTTAAGGTCGGTACATAAACTATCAACTTTGTGAATACCATTGTTGTTTAATATGGGGGTTATAATCTCCACCCGTCACAGCCAGAAGGGAACTGGCCATCCCTCAGAGCCTGGTTCCTTTCTAGGTTTCTGCCTTTCTAGGGAGTTTTTCCTTGCCACCATGCTTCTACATCGGCATTGCTTGCTGTTTGGGGTTTTAGGCTGGGTTTCTGTATAGCACTTTGTGACATCTGCTGATGTAAAAAGGGCTTTATAAATAAAATTTGATTGATTGATTGATTGATCTTAGCAACATGGTCCTCATTGTTGAGATTGCCTTTGATGCAGTATGATTGAACAGCAGAGTCCCCGTTGAGTAACACCATTAGTAAGGACCTGCTGTGTCATTTCTGGTAGAGGGTAGTTAGCTGTACCTTTGGCTGCTTCCCAACACACACACACACACACACACACACACACACACACACACACACACACACACACACACACTATAGGGGAGCTGGCCAGCTCTCGACTAATGAGCATGTAACATTTATAGTCCTGCCGCCCTATACTTGTCCTACAAAGGGTGCTTCAATGGTAGTCAGCACCATTATATTATTATTTTGCTTAGGTTTTTGTCAGTACTAGAGTGAGTGGATGTCCTTACTCAATGAGAATGTATATGCTCTCGCTCACTGAATGGGTTGATGGAGTAAAAAGGGAAATGGTGAACTTTTCACACGTCTGCAATTTAGTACATTTCAGACAATAATGCCTTTGTCTGATGTGTTGGTAATGTTGTTTTTCTTTGTGAATTTATTATCAGTAGGCCCCAGGCAAGGTGGCAGAATCAAGCAGTGATGTGTTAAGTTTTCCTTTGTTGCTTTGTTGATTAGAAATAAGCAGTTGATTTATGCCACGGACTCTGCCATCCATCACAGGCCATCATCAACAGCACCATTACCCCCAACATGACCTTCACCAAAACCTCCCAGAAGTTTGGCCAGTGGGCTGACAGCCGCGCCAACACCGTGTATGGCCTGGGCTTTGCCACCGAGCAACAGCTTCAGCAGGTTAGTCACCACTGGTGTTATAGACGGTTGAAAATTCAGAAGAAACACATTTCTAATGCATACTCGTTGACTAATTACTCTAATACTTACGTTTCACTTTTTCTTCCATAGTTTTCAGACCAGTTCAAGGAAGTGAAAGAAGCAGCACGTCTTGCAAGGGAGAAATCACAGGAGAAATTTGAACTGACCAACCCCGCGCTGAATATCGCCGCCCCACAGGTGAGGTCTGGAACTGCAGTTGCTCGATTAGCCCCATAAGTTAACTGCCGAGGCATGACAGATAAGCACATGGCTTAGCAGCGCTACCCTCAGGACCATGTGTGTGTGTATCTATCTATCTATCTATCTATCTATCTATCTATCTATCTATCTATCTATCTATCTATCTTATCTATCTTATCTATCTATCTAATCTTAGACACATTTAATTCTCTTGGGGTATTCTATTATTTTCCCCATTTGGTTAAGTCTATTAAAGGATTTCATGCATGAGAAATGGGGATGGTAGGCGGAAACAAGCTTGTTCCAAGGTAAACAGAGTGACCGTAATGCCTCCTCCTCCTGGGGAAGTGTGAGAGGGGCTGAGTCATATATAAATGTGGGGATTTTTTTCTAGGACACTAACTGTTGAAATTAAGCCTTCCTTTGGGTGATATAATTTAGGGTGTTATTACTTTTAAGGTCAGTAATTGACACTGGCAGTGTGAAATTGTATGTTAGTCCGCTTGCAGTACAATTTTCAACTCCTCCAAACATAGCTGCTGGAAGTAGGGGTGCTGAAAAATCAGAATAAAAAAAATATTAATAAAAAAAAAAACATTGAAGAAATGATTGTTTAACAGAAGTAGTGCACTGGGCCTTTACTAGTATTAGCGGACCGATATAGACGTCTGTAGCGTGGGCAAAAAAGGTAGTTGTATAATTAAGAACAGTATCTTGCAGGATTCAATAGTTGGAATTGTAAGAGTTGTTGCCCTGTCCCTTTCTCTGCGATTGTCACCCTGTCCTCAAACATTTACATCAAAAGGTGCAAAGTTGGGGCCTCCCGAGTGGCGCAGTGGTCTCTACAGACCCGGGTTCGATCCCAGGCTGTGTCGCAACCGGCCGTGACAGGCAGTCCCATAGGGCGGTGCACAATTGGCCCAGCGTCGTCCGGGTTAGGGGAGGGATTGGCCGGGGGGGCTTTACTTGGCTCATCGCGCTCTAGCTCTAGTCAGTTGAATGGTGTTTCCTCCAACACATTGGTACGGCTAGCTTCCAGGTTAAGCGGGCGGGTGTTAAGAAGCAGGGTTTGGCGGGTCATGTTTCGAAGGTCGCATGACTCGACCTTCGCCTCTCCTGAGCCCGTTGGGGACTTGCAGCGATAAGACGATCGTAATTGGATCGCAATTGGATATCACGAAATTGGGGAGAAAAAGGGGATAAAATAAAAAGTTGCAAAGACACAGATCCACATCAAATTAAATATTTTTCTTGATCAAATAACATGGAAAACAACCACTTAATTGACCGTCCTTACAAACCACTTAATGTAAATGTACATTACTGTATTGTACATAGGCTGGTCATCTAGGTTTGTACCTGTACACTTTCCATCACCATGAAGAAAAACTATGCACAATACAGTAATTGAGTACATTGAGACGTCAAGTGGTTTGTGATGATGTGGCTCAGTTCGTAGAGCCATGGCGCTTGCAATGCTAGGGTTGTGGGGTTGATTCCCACGGGGGGAGCAGTACGAAAAAGTATGAGAATGTATGCATTCACTACTGTAAGTTGCTCTGAATAAGAGTGTCTACTAAAATGGAAAAGGAATGAATAGACCATTTCAGTTTTCACATAGAAATAAGTTGCATTTGCAAAGTATTTCAAGAAACTAGAAAACGTAAGCTATATCAAGCAAGTATTTTTATATTCCACAAGTATTATCAGATTAACTTTTTTGTACAGATAGTTATCAGACTCAAGTTACAAAAGCTGGTAAACACTCAAATACATTTTAGTTTAAAAAAATTCACAAAAGAAGTGCACTGGGCCTTTACTAGTCCTTTTATTAGTGGACCGATAAAGACGTCTTTAGTGCGGGCGATTTAATTTTTTTCTGCATCCCTTGTGTCTGCAAAGAAAATCGCAGCACCCCACCCCAAACTACTTCCCGCGGCTGTGCCTCCAAAGATTCTCTTGAACCATGTTGTGTGCTGAAAGGCATTATGGTTGTTTGTTTCTTGGGAATTAATATGGGATATATTATCACTGAATTACGTTTGAAGGATTTGCTGTATCAATAATGACAGCTTGAGCCAATGTGGGCGGGAGACACAATTTATACACCACGCAAACTATGTAAATACAAACTCATTGTATTTGGAAATTACATTGTTATACAGCTCATTGTTACAGAGCCGACCTGAACCGATGACTTGTCCAATGGCTATTTCAGCAAAGTAATTGGAATCCATTGTTTGATAAGTGCTAGGGCCAGTTTGGTTATTTGTTGTTGTAGCAACATGCATTGAATGAGAGCTGTGTGTGTGCTGCAAACCACTAACAAGAAGCCATTGAACATGAGTAGCTGCCAACAGTATAAGGCAAACATGTTTTTTTTAGGAATAGCGCTAGTCACGGGGGAAGCAGTTCTCCATACTGTCTACAGCCAACCAGAGCCTTTGTGTAACTGTACAATAGCCCCGCTGTTTAGCATATTGAGATAAACAGGCGTTAGGCGGCATTCTATTGGCATTCATTCCTATTATGCACTACTATGAACAATGGGCAGTATAGAATAGATAGCCCGGAGCGTCATTGTTTGGGTATTCATAAATGTGACATAACTCCAACAATACAGCAGAAACAATGATACATTCTTCTTCATAGCTTTCCTGGTTTGTGATATTCTTGAGTCATGTTTTACAAGGCACGTCGTAGAGTTGTGCTTATTTACAGCTGGGCTTATTTTGATGTGATCCGATTTCACTCTGTTTTATCACATTAGTTCCACAAACAATGCCCCCGTGTCCGTTGACACCAGGCGGAAACATTCCTTTGGCTACTGTGGGAATGTATAATGTAATTGCAATGGGGTCACCTAGGAAACTGTCTGGAGCGCAGCGTATTTCTTTGTACAGTCCACTGACTCCTTCCTCTCCTCAATCTAGACTGCAGTCATCCCCATACTTTCAGCCACTCTGATTTATAGATAAGACAGAACACAAATCGATACGCACTATGTGGTTTTACAGACGTGTTTAATACGCTTTATGTACACACTTTATTAGAATATTTATGAAATGCACATTGTTATATTTGGTAACACTTACTTATTTTCCCTCGACTCCAACCCCATTCGATGCATGGAACGGATGTGGGTTGAGCTATGTCTACATAAGGGCGCTAATTATTTATTTTTACTCCCAAAAGCTCTGACGAAGGCCTTGAGGCCGATACGTAAAGCTTATTAAAGAGCAGTGATACTATTAAGAGCAGTGTGCGGGTTTCTTCATTTTTCTCATCTTATTCAATTGATCCCATGCACCTGCAACAAAGATAGCTCAGATGTGCGAGTGCCTTTTGAATTTTGTTCTATGAACTAAATACAATTGGTGCAGTTTCATGTAAGAAGTATATGCTGACATTAAGCATACACACTGCAGTCCTAATATGATACCACTTCATGAAGGAATGATAGTAATTGACTTAAGTCATTATGGTTATGGCAGATGTGATGTCATGTCTATGATATAACTGTAAAAGCTTCATGTCTGGAGGTCCTGCATTTTAGTGTTGAAAAGCTTAGTAGTGACTTAAATAATAACAACTGAGATGGCATGGTTGTTGAAAAGAGAACAAAACATTATTTTATTTTGTAGCTGGAGGGACACTTAAAGCGGTGTTGATGCTCCAGGTTTTGGTACCTCTCCTCTCCCATTGTATTAATTCACTACACTCCAATTCTTACAAGCCCTGGTCACTAACAACTAGCATGGGTACACCCACTTCTCTCACAGCCTCCAAGGCAACAGTACACTCCCACTGATGCAGAGCTACAGTTGAAGTCGGAAGTTTACATACACCTTAGCCAAATACATTTAAACTCAGTTTTTCACAATTCCTGACATTTAATCCTAGTAAAAAATCCCTGTTTTAGGTCAGTTAGGATTAGGCTTTGTGATGGCCACTCCAATACCTTGACTTTGTTGTCCTTAAGCCATTTTGCCACAACTTTGGAAGTATGCTTGGGGTCATTGTCCATTTAGAAGACCCATTTGCGACCAAGCTTTAACGTCCTGACTGATGTCTTTAGATGTTGCTTCAATATATCCACATAATGTTCCTTCCTCATGATGCCATCTATTTTGTGAAGTGCACCAGTCCCTCCTGCAGCAAAGGACCCTCACACTATGATGCTGCCACCCCGTGCTTCACGGTTGGTATGGTGTTCTTTGGCTTGCAAGTGCCCCCTTTTTCCTCCAAACATAACGATGGGCATTATGGCCAAACAGTTCTATTTTTGTTTCATCAGACTAGAGGACATTTCTCCAAAAGGTACGATCTTTGTCCCCATGTGCAGTTGCAAACCGTAGTCTGGCTTTTTTATGGCGGTTTTGGAGCAGTGGCTTCTTCCTTGCTGAGCGGCCTTTCAGGTTATGTCAATATATGACTCGTTTTACTGTGGATATAGATACTTTTGTACCTGTTCCCTCCAGCATCTTCACAAGGTCATTTGCTGTTGTTCTGGGATTGATTTGCACTTTTCGCACCAAAGTACGTTCATCTCTAAGAGACAGAACGCGTCTCCTTCCTGAGCGGAATGAAGGCTGCGTGGTCCCATGGTGTTTATACTTGCGTACTATTGTTTGTACAGATGAATGTGGTACCTTCAGGCATTTGGAAATTGCTTGTGGAGGTCTACAATGTTTTTTCTGAGGTCTTGGCTGATTTCTTTTGATTTTCCCATGATGTCAAGCAAAGAGGCACTGAGTTTGAAGGTAGGCCTTGAAATACATCCACAGGTACACCTCCAATTGACTCAAATGATGTCAATTAGCCTATCAGAAGCTTCTAAAGCCATGACATCAATTCCTGGAATTTTCCAAGCTGTTTAAAGGTACAGTCAACTTAGTGTATGTAAACTTCTGACCCACTGGAATTGTGATACAGTGAATTATAAGTGAAATAATCTGTCTGTAAACAATTGATGGAAAAATTACTTGTATCATGCACAAAGTAGATGTCCTAACCGACTTGACAAAACTATA